TCCTCCTCTCTGGCTTCCTCTGTCCTCCTCTCTGGCTTCCTCTGTCCTCCTCTCTGCCTTCCTCTCTCCTCCTGTCTGCCTTCCTCTCTGGCTTCCTCTCCTTCTATTCCCTCTTTCTATCACTCCCTCTCCTCTCTCACACATCCTGCTTCCACCAACTCTAACTGACACGGTAGAATAATTTATTGAGAAAGTACCAAGATTTAGTAACAATGTTTTATTTTTCAGCTAGTATAGTACCTAGCAAATAATCTTAAACCAGATCCAACCTCTCCCCTCATCTTCTCTGACTTCCTCTCTCTCTCTCTCTTTCTACCACTCCCTCTCCTCTCTCACACATCCTGCTTCCACCAACTCTAACTGACAGTAGAATAATTTATTGAGCAAGTCCCAAGATTTAGTAACAATGTTTTATTTTTTAGCTAGTACAGTACCTAGAAAATATATAACACATCTTAAACCAGACACTGACACTGTCATTTCATTCTGATATGATAGCATTTACGAAAAAGATATTGTTTGACAAATGAGAGGTCTACTTCATGTGGCAGTCAAATATTCTAACTTTCTATATATTGTAAAATAACAACATGAACTCAAAGAACTTTGTGCACACTGCACAGGGTGATGGAAATGAAGTCACGTGTCACCTTAAGCTCAGCTTAATCTGTCAGAATGCGTGTAGTAATAGCAGGAGCGAATAATGACAGTCTGTCATTATTCATTCCTGGTAATAGGTGCGTAGTTTTCTCACTATGGTTGCTCATAAGTGACCAGCTTAACCTCATGTGTAGAGAACACGTCTGCAGTGTATTAAGTAATGTAAGTAAGTAAACATACAATGCACCAGTTTTAAAACGCATTTTAAAACCATGGCGCACACTGGCAAATTCTAAATAATAAGACAGATGAAGGAAAAATAATAAAATGAAACTTGCTGCATGGTGCATGCCACGCAATACTACATTTATCTAGTGATGTAGCAGGTTTTTTGAAGACGAAATAAAATGTCGTTGCACTATATAGTAACTGTATATATTGCGAATGACAGTAGTAATAGCAGTTTACATGAAAGTAACACAGCCTAGTGAAGCTTAGTCATAAGTGTGTAAGAAAGCTGTCTAGCTTGTTTACAGTAATATAAACCCTACTTCTACATGTTCTAGTCTTTTTCTAGGATAGATGTGATCTAGACATTACATGGAATGGAATGTGGGTAGATTATCAATTCTATTGGGTAGTAATATTTCCATGGGTAGAGGGTTACTAGTAGACAAATTATAACTGCCAACCAGGGTTGTCGGCAGACGGAATAACCAGATAAACCATCTATTTGGTTTACTCTTTGAATACGTAAGATAACTTCTCGTTTTACAACACCTTGACATCATTATTCGATTTCACTATAAAAAAAGGAAGAGACACTTGTATTTTCAAGCTCAATCACAGGTTTACAAGGCATTCACCCATCAGCACTCCACACAACTCCCATATGTATTTACAGTTGCACAACAGTGTTGGCATCTACAGTCCATCAACGAGATTAGCAGCCTCCAGCTTCTCAAATTCTCTCTTCCTGGCCTTTAAGACATCCCGTATGATTGCTGAAAAGCACGAAAACAAAGCACATTAGCGAAGTTCTGGATTCCTCCTTTCTTTCTTCGCTTTCCTTACTCAAATGGGACATCCGTAATGGCAACTGCATAACTAAGGGAATCAAATAATATTACATCAAATACACATCAACTAGTTTATGATGTAGTGAGCGTAGCGAGTGAGTGGCGTATCCTTACGATGCAATTGATCTGATGTAGTGATGATATCGTAAAATTAATCTATCGCGGATGTGATGTTCCGTGCAAAGGCAGAAGAGCGAATGCATGCGTGTGCATTGTGCGTGCGTACATGTGAGATGGTACTTACAGTACATGGGTTTTTAGAAATAGCTGCTGTCGGTCAAACAGAAGAAGACAGAGTGCACTAGGTCTGAAAGATATCCCCGAGCGAAGGCACACGTAGCCACCCTCTGAGATGTGTCGGCTTCCAACTCCAGTACCTCCTTCTGCTGCTGCATTTGCCACACCTGTCCGCCACACAAACACACATCAACCGTTATTCAGCCTGATTGAGTAAAAAACCGAAAGCACGAAGAAGACCATTGTGACTGCAGTCATTCGTCGTTAAATTTATGGTTGTAATATAAATATCCTAAAATATCAAGTTGAAGTCGCAAACATATAGCTCAAAGGTGTGCCTTTCTCCTCCCTGTGTCATGTCTCCTTCCCCTCACACTTGCCCTTACCTTCTCCTCCCTGTGTCGCCTCTCCTTCCCCTCTCTGACATCTTACCTTTTGCTCCCTATCTCGCTTGTCCTTATCCTCTTTCCCCTTTACCATCTCCCCTTTGTGTCACCTCTCCTTATCCTCTCTTCCCCCTTATCCTCTTTCTTCTCCCATATCTTTGCCTCTGTGTCATCTCCACTTCTCCTCTCTCTCCCACTTTACCTTCTTCTCCCTCCTGTCCTCCAGTCTCCGCATCTCGACGAGCTTGGCATTGCACAGCTCTAGAAAGGCCTTCTGCTGCGCCCATTGCCGCCAGTTCCTTTTCCTCTATCACCTGCAGCAACGCCTGCTCCAGGGTCTTCCCCACCAGTACCTCCAGTATCAGCGTCCCCTCCAAGTCAAAGTCGAACAGCTGCCGGCAAGAGAGAGAAAGAGAAGGCTGAAGAATCAGAATATGTTTCACACCAACAATCAAATTCCCATCGCAGCAGGTGCCAGCTGGGATCAGGTGGAGATCGGGTGGCCCATTGTCGGAAACAGGATCGATCTCTACATTATATCCTGAACGTCAACTTTGTTACCGTAGACTGTTGATGGAAACGTGGTGAAGTTACGAAGTTTTTTGTACGTTAAAAAGTTAACGTCGAGATTAATGTAACGAGAAGACCTAAGTTCCTGACAATGAGCCCCAGAATGCATCTCACACTGCATTTTTCTTTCGGCTTAAACTCGAGTGCCGTAGGCTCCCTCATCTTCTCACACGAGCACCGCGAACTTCTTTAGACAGAATCCGAAACCATGCCCCGCCGCGACTGCATCACCCGATTTAACCCCGGGCACTTTCCAAGCATTCAGTGTCATATACGTTCACTGACCAGTCTTATGTAAAAAGTCTCAATTAGAAGTAATTTGCCTCGATGACAATGATGCCCTCATCCGAAGTAGATCTTTGCTGAGGTGAAGCTCTGACCTGCTGTGGTGCAATAGAAAGTTTCGACTAAACCTGAGGGCAATGCTTGCCTTGCCCCCATCGATACAAAACTAAATGGAGGAGGAGGAGAAGGAACAAGAAGAGAAAGAGGAGGAGGAAGAGGAGGAGGAGATGGAGGAGGAGGGTGAGGAGGAGGAAGAGAAGGAGGAGGAGGAGAAGGAGGAGGCGGAGAAGGAGGAGGAGGAGGAGGAGGAGGAAGAAGAGGAGGAGGAAGAGGAGGAGGAGTGAGGTATGTTCCTTTCACTATAAGAAAATATATAGCACCATTTTCAATGCCCACCCAATTAATGAAACTACCTTTCTTGTCCCGATTAGAGCTTAGACATACCTTGCTAGACTAGGCAATAATTTAAATCATTAATTATTTAATTGGAGTCTGGGTGGTGTGAGTTATGTTCCTATCACTATAACAGAATATATAGCACCACTTCCAATGTCCATCCAATAAATCAACTTTTCCCCTATATTCCGATTAAAACATACACATAGCTTGCTAGACTGGGCAATAATTTCAATAATTAATTATTTAATTGGAGTTAAGGGGTGATGTATGTTCCTATCACCGCAACCGAATATATAGCACCACTATCAATTGAGCTACCTCCTCCCACTATATTCCAGTTAGAGCATATAGACATAGCTATAGCTAGACATGACAATATTTTGAATCATTAACTATTCATGCTGAGAAAGGACTTATGTTCTCCTGTTCTTATCACTGTAACAAAATATATAGCCCCACATCCCAATACCCACGCAGTAAATGAACTTACCTCCTCCCCTGTAAGAGGCGGCAACACGCTTTATATCCATCGTAATTCCTACTAACAAGGGGGGTAGAATTCCTATTACTTGCACCAGATCCGATTCATATTGTGACCGCGGATAATTTAACCTCATTTTCATCTTCACGCGATGAAAGACACCAACACCCGTCAGTTGTCGGGGCGTTTGCGCATGCGCAGTGCTTACAAGATCGCACGAAGCGAAAAGTCCGCACCGCTCATATTTAGACGACAGTAGAAATAGAAGTAGAGATAGTAGTAGTAGTAGAGATTTTCCTCTGTCTAGGATTCGTTGCGAAACGGCGTGAGTGGAGGGGGGGGGCACAGTAGCTTCCCAACAAAGTGATCGCTCTTTCGACAGCGAGTTGTCGCGTGTTTTTCGCTCGTCTTCTCTCTCACGGAAAAACCAATCGGGGAATATTTACACGTGTAACAATGCCTTGCCGCATTAGCGCTTATACCAGTACAACTGCTAACCGTAGCAGTACGCAGTCCCCCCCCCACCTACACGAAATCAAATCAAGCATCACCCTCCCCTCCCTGTCTATCTCACCTACACTATTTACTATCCTGGTTACTACTTTATTTGCATTCTATGAATCTCTATTTCTGTTAGCTCTCTTTGCCATTTACTCCGTTTGCGTTCCTAACGTTGTATTGTTGTTTATGATTGATACACCCACTATTCTATATCTACCTACTTAATATCAACGCGACCAACGATTCTCTAATGATGAACTGAATCCATCAACCCTAACCGCCACCACCACTCTCACACAACATCCCACCCTCTTCCTACCCCTCCACCAACACTTCCACCTACCTCTCCCCTAACTCCCCCACGCCTTCCGGCGAACAATCGCTGCGTCTGCATCCGTTCGCACATGCTCGCGCTGCACTCACGTCACCGTCTAGATCTGTGTCACGGCGTTGACTCCCGTCTTTGGGGGGATGAACAGCGGGGAGGCGGGACGGTCGAGGAATGGGTCGGTATGGCATTGCGCGTCCGCCTCCTCCACCCTGTCCCCGAGTTCCTCCAGGTAGAGCTCCATTTGCACATCCTAGACGCGCGAGCAAACACAGCGCGTTAGAAACTAACTGTCTCACCCAAGCAATTGCTACCAGAGAAGGCATTTCCGATTGCGGAAAAGGACAAAGGTGGCCTTCATACAAAGGTAACCCATTCTATGTAGGTGGTTTTACTGTATAACTGCTTGCATCCGTGAACACATGGGGCGAGTGTTAACCGACCATGGCGCAGCGCGTTCCACAGCGTGTGCGGCGGGCTTAACCAACCAGTAGCACTATTAAAATGATTGATAGTACACACATTAGTACCTGCAAAGAACCTCCTGGTGGCTACCTGTCGTGCAGCCTATTGCCGTATCGCCTACTGTTGGTAGCCATGATGGCAGGGATGCTGCATGGAATGCTATCCAGCTACATGTGCGTCCGTGCGTGCACGCGTGTTTTGTAACGTGTCAGTGTATCGTAAATGTTATAAATGATCACAAGCCGAAACCTAGCCATTTGTTAATTTCCCTTTTACAAATATTCTAGTACGCCTTCCAGAATCTATCTTCGGCATCCATCAGTAGTGACGCGATTTCTCTGCTGTGAGATCATACCTGAAGAAAAGACACGTGCAGTGAAAAAAACCTTACGTAATCATCACATGTATGTTGCTGCATTCGGAAATGGTTTTTTGCCACTGAACACACGGATCAATAGCTCTTGCAGACATGGTTCAGTGGAAACTCACGCACACATCAGTGGAACGCGTAGCACCTGCAAACACAGACTCAAAGTGCCAGTAAAATATATTATATAATAATATGGTATATCTCTATAAATACACCGCACACTCGCTAGGCGGCGAGTAGTGGTTAGTAGTTCATGTGCTCAATATTCTAACATTTTTACAAGCGAAAACTACCTGCACGGTTTATTTGTTGTGAATATTTACATTATAAAGGTATCAAGGTTAGGTTTAGGGTTAGAGCTAGAGTCAGGATTAGGCTTAGGGTTATAATATTTACATTATCAGCGTAATTAGGGTTAGGATTATATAAGAGTACGAGTGTAAACAAACCCTAAACATGTCCGCAAACTAAGGAGAAAAAGTTGGTGGCGGCGTGAGATGCAAACAAAATTTGTTATCGTTGCTCGACCCGTATTGTTCTGTACCGTATATTTCCACACAATATCGCTGTGAAATCTCATCTGAAGGAAGGACACCTGCAGTGGAAAAAAGATTCATAATGATTACACACATTTCTGCTACATTTGACAATATTTTTTACACACGGATCAATAGTTTTTGTATGTATCACTATGGTTCGCTGTAAACTGACACATGCGTGCAAGCTTAATATAGCTATACAGTGTTATAGAATGTCTCTATGAATACACAACGCACTCGCTAGGTCGCGCTAGTGGATCATATGAAAGACTGAAAGTGTCTTATATTATAATATATAACAGGGTGCGAAATTAACACGAGCCCACTGCCATATGCCAGCAAATTATTTTGAGGGCCGGTAACAATGGCAAAACACCGACCCTCCGAGCCGGTGCATGCATGGTTTCAGCCATGTTAGCGAGTACCTACATTTTTATTTATAGCCTACATTATTTATAGCAAATAGCCTACACATTAATAGCTGTTTTACCTGAAGGATATCACGCCATAATTTTATCAACATTTTACAAATTTGAAATCGAGAATGCAAGCGTGAAACATGACATTGATTTTACAAACAAATTTATGAGGGCTGGTACATTATGGTGAAGGCTGGTAAAAATTACTGTTACCAGCCCTCTGATCCGGTGCAAAAAAATCAGAATTTCATGCTCTGTATAATAATATAAAGTGTCTCTATCAATGCACCGCGCACTCGCTAGGTGACGTTAATAGTTCATACGACATTTATTCATAGAAATTTACGGGTTATGAATTCTGATGACGTCTTCAAAGTTCATCTATAATCTAGTAGTAGTACTAGTACTAACTCTAGAACAATAGCCCTTCGCTCGGCCACGGGTAGAGCGCTGCCTGTGGCAGGGTGAAGGGCTATAGTTCTAGAGCTAGGCATAGACTATAGAGTAATAATGGTTGTAATAGTAATGTTTAACAGATAATCGTTACTCACACAGACTTACTGACTTGTCGCAGAGAGAAGCTCAGAAGGGCTATAGTTCTAGACCTATAACCTCATCCACATTAGTCTTCAAAGGTCCTAGGGACTATAATGAAGACGGAGAGAGAAGTGGATCAAATTGATAGATTCGCATTGATCCGCGATTTCAATATTATATGTATATGTTAGCTCCAAGAAACGGCCTTTGCTAGGGTTAGAAGACCATTTCAAATTCTTGCCCATAAAAACTTGTAGTTGGCTCGGTATCCAAACATCGCCACAGCTAGCGTCACATGTAATAGCTCAAACAAATCTATAAACCTCTTGTTTGCTCGCGATAACTGACGCTGCTGGGCGCTACTTATTTATCGAGTTATGCCGTATTTTCTGAGATGAATTGGATGAAAACAACCAGACAACCGCCGTGTCCGCCATGTTCGGTGCGACTAAAATCGGCAATGGACCTGATTTTCACAGTGCGTAGGCCTAAACACAAGGCATGTACATATGTTCGCAATAATAATTATTAAGTTGTTGTAGATTGATGTTTCCTGGTTTTCAACGTTTTAATATTTATATATACGAGTATATGATGCTTATTTATGCTCGCGCCAACGCGAGTTGGCGTACGCTATGGTATGTTATGTCGTTTCGGGTTTTCCGCATTCCAATCGAAACGCATGCGCAGTGGAAACATGGCGGTTGGCGGTTAAAGTGAAATTTAGGTTTGGCTCTTAAAATTTACACTGTGCACAGTGAACTGAGGTATTAGTTTTAATAACAATGCTGGAATACTATAAGGTGAAGGTTATACTTGATACAAAACAAGGCAGAAATGCTTAGACGCGTGATTATTTTATTTGAGATATACGTAATTGTTCGGCAGTTTTTGTAGAGGTACAAGATTATCCAATGGATGGATGTCACTGTCAGGCTGTGTATATTGACGTTACTCACACAGCCTGCATGGTCGGGCTAATGTATACCGGGTATGTCGGCAGTGTTCGAAATTCACGTCGGCCCGTCGGCCCGCCGCCGACAGTTTCGATGCCGGGCCTACAGCTTCTTGATACAACAGGCCCGCTGATCCTACAGCTATTTGATCACCGAAAATTCGAAACACTGAGAAACTGTTACCTGTAGAAACTGTTACCTGTAGAAATCTGTTCATGCATATTAACTTCCAGGGGTATTTATTTAAAAACGAATCCGTGATAAACTGTGACATACATGTATACAATGCGTTCGCCCACTGTAATCAACTTTAGTTGGCATTCAAGAAACGTGCGTGGGATGTTCGGACTCACAGGTTAGCACAGGTTCCTGCATCCAGTAGCAGCGTTGGCATACCAAAAATCGATAAGAAGTGGGTGGAGCTTACTTTTGGCCAGTTGTAGTGAACGTTCACTGAGCTCACTGTTCACGTGCGCTAGGTTATGGAGTAATTTTCACATCCCCGCGCATTTCACGTTTGGATGTAAACAATAAAGTATCACTGGTCGTTATTACAAACGAGCAGTACACTGTTTTAAAATAATATTAAGAAGATTTAGATAATAATGATATCATGTTGAATTATACAGTAAATAATAATAATTGTCTCAAGTTTTAACACACATGTCATAATTAAGTCACTGTAGCTGCAAAGCACGGCGTATTACTTACTAGTCATGCAAACAGCAGTACAGCCTCGTCGCACCACTCAGGTTTAACCGTGTCATATTGTTTTTAACGTTTGGAAAAACTATATACATTTATACAGGGTGTAGCTAAATAAAAGCTTCCCTACGTAAGAGCTTGTATGTCTACAAAATACATTTACTTCGGACACACTCAACACAGACGGAATTCCCCAGTGCCCATCAAAATTTTACAGTAGGTAAATTTTACTAATTTTTTCTTTTTCCACTAAAAAGTGTTGCTAGTTGTAAGCTATTGGAGTACCCTGAAATGGCTCTAGATTGCATCTCAGAGCTTATAATTTTCAAAAATGTTCTGGCCCCCAGACCCCCATAGAAGTCCCTGATGTGTACCAGACTACCAGTCTGTCTCTCTGCTGTCAAAGTGGAAAGTCGTAGTTACCAAGGAGCTACATATAAGAACGATGTGCCGTTTCCTTAATTGTGAGCCCCGGCAACGAAGCATAAACAGTCATCCGACGAGAGGAAGAAAAAACAGAGAGATTATGATTATGAACATTGATAATGACTAATAAACATAAGGAAGAACATGATATGCTGTTTTATTACTGTAATTTGCTTCAAAATTGGCGGGCCTACAGCTTTGCTGGCGGGCCTGCAGCTTTTAAAAGCTATAGGCCCTGCAGGCCTACAGCTTTTTCTGCTCAGTGGCAAACACTGTATGTCAGTATAGCTGAGAGGGTCTATGTCCCCCAGGGTACTGCCCGAACTTACCCTGGCTACGGTCCGGTATACCGGAACGTACCCTGGTAACTATCTGATATGGTTAGGGTTAGGGTAGCTTTAGAGCTAGGAGCGGAGGGCTATAGTTCTAGAGCTAGGGTTAGGGAGTAGGCGTAGGCGACTCCCTAGACTCGTTACTGCGTTAGTGGAGTAGGCGAGGTACGCCGTACAGTCCGGCATATTAGATAGTACCAGGGTACGTTTCGGTATAACGTGAAATTACAAATAAAAAAGAATAGTGAACTTACTAACAAATGAGTGCTGTGACTCGTGAGGCCTGAGGCTGAGGGTCAAAGTAGCACTAGGATTTCGAGTCGACCCCCACAGCACTCATTTGTTTGTAAGTTCACTATTCTTTTTTATTTGTAATCTCACGTTATAACTATCATACACTTACTGTATTGTTAACTTAGTTATGTGCTAAAATAAAGAATCTGAATCTGAATCTGTAAAATTCTAAAGCAAAGTGGTAATGGAGGCTGCCATCTTGTATCAATCTATCTAGACAGAATCCTTATCTTTGGACTTTGCGCACTTTATATTTACGAAGAAACGAGGTACCCATCTAAACACCACTTTTACGTGACGTAAATCTGATGTTTTTCGACCAGTCACCTATCATAACATGTCAAACTTTTTACGTCCGGTCGTATAAAACCAGCCGCTTTCTACCGGTTATAGGTGGATACGATGAAGAGTTGTAACAATATATGTACAATGAAGAGTTGTACTGATATCCGTAACTTAGAACAAAATTTGTGTTGAAACTAAAACTTGAACGCTTTTCAATAATCCGTGACGACCAATCAGAAGTATTGTCAACAAAAACGACCAATCAAATTGTCGTTATGCTGTGTAAATAAAACAACATGTCAGCACCCCACAACGCTGGTAGTGAGATCGAGGTTTAATTTTTAATTATTGATAAAAACAATCAATAAACTCGTGCGTACAGAGCCGTCGTAGGGCCTAGCTTAATTAGTAGCTAGCATATGCCGACGTAGATGGGCATGCAGTTGTCCCCATACTAATTGAATTAGCATCACAGTCATTTTATTGCCATATTAATTGAAACGTTTCAATAATAATAAAATGATGCATGGTGAATAAACACGAAATGTATTTACTACCAATTATAACGCCTATATAGGCAAAGATTCTCTACTCCGCCTATGATATATAGGCTATAAATATTAGTAATAATTTCCTGTAAATGTCATTCAAATGCTCGTGTGCAACACACAATTTTACCGCACACACAGCTGTAGGCCTACCTATATATTTTTGTTGTTTGTGCATAGATTATAATAATCATTATTAGTATCTTGTTAATGTAAGTGTATAAAAAAGACTAAATTAAGTTATATTGGGAGGGGTTGGGGGAGTTGTTGGATGATGGGTTTGGAAGGGTTAGAGGGAGGGGTTGGAGAAAGGATTAGCGGAGGTGTTAGGGGAGGGGTTGGGTAGGGGTTAGTGGAGGGTTGGGTAGGGGTTGGGGAGGGTTGGGGAGGGATTGGGGAGGGATTGAGGATGGATTGGGGAGGTGTTGGGGAATGGGTTGAAAGGGAAAAATGAGTTGAAAGGGGTAGGGAGAGGCGGGTAGCACGTTATTGATCTGACAAGAGGTTAGAATATAATTGATTCGCAGTGTTGGATGGCGATCTATCTTTCCTTCTCACCCTTCTCTCTCCCTCCCCTCTCTATCCATCCCCCTCTCTCTCCCTCCGCCTTTCTCTCCCTCCCCCTCTCTCCCCGTCTCTCTCTCTTAATTTCTATCTCTCTCCTTCCTCCTCTCTCTCCTCTCTCTCTTAATCTGAATCTCTCTTCCCTATCTCCGTCTTTTTTAATCTCTATCTCCCTCTCTCCCCCTCTCCCTTTATCTCCCCGTCTCCCCATCTCCCCCGGTCGCCCCTGTCTCTTAATCGCTATTTCCCTCCGCCATCCTTTTCTCTTTTAATCTCTATATCTCTCTCCCCATCTCTCCCTCTTCTCTCTCTCTTTTTTATTCCGTGCTGGTAATTCGGAGGAAAACAAGAAAGCAGGGACTCTCTTGCGCGACTGGGTCACTTTATGGACAAACACAATTAGAGGCGGGGGGAAGGAAGGAAGGAGGGGTATCAAGATGTCTCTACTCTACCATTAGAGAAAAAGAGGCGTACACAGTAGCTGTGACGTACGACAAGTTACAACCACCCGCTGCAGCTGTAGTGCCTGCTAGTAGGATGGGGAGTAGAGATATTTACCTGGTAGATGTAAACGGATTTAACAGAGAGAAAAAATCGCGTGTTGTGCGATATGTGTGTGTGTGTGAGGGGGGTGTATGTGTGTGTATATACGTGTGTGTGTGCGTGCGTGCGTGCGTGCGTGCGTGCGTGCGT